TGGAAACTTTTTTGGAGAGTAGAGACACAATGAAATCAACCCTCTCATGATAATTGATATGATTTCAAGCTACTTTTAACATTGCAAATCAATATTGGTCTTACAGTTAGCATGTTAGGTTCATTCAGACCAACACTCCAGATCCTCCCGAACTTGTGGGCGGGTGGCAGTTGAGTTAAAGTTTAAACATTATTTGGAGCAAGGAAAATGTTTTGAGTGTAGAGACACATTGCAAACAAGTAATGAAATGTATCTGACAATAATTCTGAACCATTCTAGCAACATAAATTTAATTTATATTGTCTCTTAGCTTTTTTGAGTGTAGTTATACACTGGAAACAATATGGAGAGTAGAAATGAATCATCTCAAGATATTTAATATGAAATCATGTTTCTTTTTACAATCTAAACCTTGTTTAGTGTCAGACATAGGATGTTTTGCCTCTCCAGCCCAATCTTCTAGGTTTTCCGAACTTAGTTAATGGGTGTCGGATGAGTTAAAGATTTAAGGTAAATAGGGTCATAAAAATTATTTGAGGTCTAGTAACACATGGTAAACAATCTACTGAATATATCTGATAAGAATTTTGAACCATTTGAACAACAGAAATGCAATTTTAGGTGGTCTGTTAGCTCTTTGATATTAGCAAGACTCACAGCTATTTTTATAACGGCTTTTGGTGTTGATATGTAGATCTCATGAGAGACCATGGTTAAATGGTAATTGAATCCATTTTAGAACCATATTTTAATTTCAAATCAAGTGGTACACTGTTTATTTGGTTTTCAAGATTCTTTTATTCGTTTTTTTGTATTTTTTAAATTTTTTTTTGACTCTACAACTTAATTGTTATGGAACAATACAAGTAGCTTTTGCCTGATGTGTTCCAGGTGATAACTTAGCATTTCCTGTTTGAGACTTTCAGGAAAAGATATGCTAGGAACGTTAAATGCCTGTGATAGAATGGTGTACAATTCATCATCAGGCATTTTAGCCAGAGATTGACTCCTGGATGAGCAAAAATATTTTGCGTGATTCATTAAGTCACCAAAGCTTGAATTAGCATGGAAACACTGAATCTCACAGTCCGACAAATAATAATTCATCAACTGCTTAATTCTTTGGATAAATTTCCAGGAAGACAGTGCCATATATATTTTGGAACTGCCTTTTTCCACACAAATAGTATTGTTAGCTGTGTGGAGTTTCACGGAAATTTTGACAGTACCAGCTGTAACTGCCTTTGCATTTCTGGACTTATAGTGGCCCACAATGGTGTTTGACACTTCTTCTGAAACCAAAATTTGGTATTCAGAGGTAGTCATAGCAACATTTTTTTGTGTTGTGGTTGCCACCAAATTAACAAAGGGTGTAAAATTGTTTAGATCAATACCGATTCTAAAGAATTTACTCCCATTTTTAATGAGTTGGAAGTCTTTAAAGGCAACTTCTACGGGAAACCTTATCTCACTGGGAGTAACATCCTGGCCCTTTGCCTGTTTTGTGTCAAAGAGATGACTCAGGTCAAAATGAACCGGGGAGTTCAGATCCATATTCCCATACAGCATTTGAGGCTGAGAGGGAGGCTGACTGAAGTCTGGCTCGTCAGTCAGATCCTCCCCAAGGTCAACAACTAGGTTGTCCAACTTCCCCTGCTTGTTGGGGAGCGGGAACAGCCATCGGCGCTT